TGCTTTCCAGAATGGCTGAATAAATTCCTGATGATTTAGTCAGGTGTCTCTCTCTGGACCTATTCTCCAGTAGGCACTGTTCTCTGCTGGGGTGACATGTCTTTGGGTGTGCATCTTATCTCTATTATTCCTTACCTCTCTCCCTGGTCTTTACCTGGAATCCTTGGCTGACGTACTCCCTCTTCCTTGTAAGAGAAGAAATGGGCCCTGTCAGCTCACTTTTACATTAATACAAGAGCCTATGCTTCTTCTCTTTTAGAAGACTAGATTCCTGTCATAACCAGTCATCAAACAAATAAAGAAAACCTCAGCTGCTTTCTCTCCATAGCGAAGGCAATCTGTCACTCTCAGAATCTTCACCTCCAAGGACAAGGACCTTTTTTGGAACACAGAACCAGAAGAACCAGAGGGCATTTGGTCAGCCTCTGAACCCCTTCCTCCTACTTGCAGGATCAACATCTCTCTGACTTAGGGTAAAATATAAGTTCCCTTTGATGCCTATCAGTTTCTGATTGCCAGGGGGCAATCCTCTCAACTAATTTCAGGAGCTACTTTCCAACAAACTTCTCTGTGGGTCTGGATCCCAGAATTTTCTGTAGGCTCTCTAGATCCTTTGGGTGTCTTCCATGCAAATGAACCTGAGCAGGCACAAAAAAATAAGAGGGCAAAGTCATTATTTTCCTCCTGGTCCATATTGTGTGGTATAATGAATAACTGTGTTCTAAATTCCAAGTCCGAGATCACTCTCTATGCACTGGCAACCTTTCTGAACTTCAGCTTTCTCACCTGTGAAAGTAGGAATAATAATAATTCTTGTAGTTACCTCATAGCAGTGTTGTGAGGCTCCAATGAAATAATGAAGGTGAAGGACCTCACAAATTTTAAAGCACTGTATCAATGTCAGTTGCTTTTCCTGCATTTATTATGTATGTTTGACCAGCAGCAGGCTCCCTGGTTTTGAATTATTCTACCCAGGGACAAGAATCCTGTACTGAAACTCAAGACTCCAGTCGTGGCTTTGGGTCTTGAGCAAGTCATTTAACTTCCATGAGACTTTGTTGTTTTGTCTATAAAACTAGGAGGTTCAACTTCTATTTCTTTTCGAGGTATTAAAAGTTACTTTGTGTGGATTTGTATTTTAAAAGTCAGGAAAGAGTAGTGTTTAACCTGAATAACTGATTTAAGTGTAGGCATCAATGGTGGAGAAACTAGAATAAAGGTTTTCCCAGCCTTTTAAATCATATCACCAAGCATAAGATCAATCAATCAAAAAATTGATGAATACTTATTAAGTACCTACTGTGTGCTAGCCACTGGGGATATAAATACATACGATGAAAGCCCCTGACCTCAAGATGCTTATAATTCTACTGAAGAAGTACATTTCTTTTTTCCCTTTCTTCCTCTTTCCTTTCCTTCTCTGTTTCTCTTTCTCTTCCCTCCTTCCTCCCTCTCTCCTTTCTTTCCTTCCCTCCTTTTTTCCCTCCTTCCTTTCTCTCTTCCTCTTTTTTCTTTTGTTCTCTCTCTCTCTCTCTCTCTCTCTCTCTCTCTCTCTCTCTCTCTCTCTCTCTCTCTCCCCCCTCCTCATGATCTACTTTTCTGCCTTTGCTGTCTATCTATCTATCTATCTATTTATCTATCTATCTATTAATCAATCTGTCTAATTTGTGAAAATGTCTTCCTTTAGTAGAATACAAGCTCCTTGCGGGTATAAATCACATTTGGTATTAGCATCTATTTTGTATTTTAGGGGGTGAGTTCTAACAACAGAAGGAATAAGGAAGGGCTTCTTGAAGGCCTCAGCTATAGAACTCAACCTGAAAGGTGCTAAAGTTTCCCAAAAGGCAGAGATGAGGAAGAAGGACATCATAAGCAAGGGAGACAGCCTATGTAAAGGGGGGGGGAGGGAGGGGGCATAAAGTGTCAATCATAGCTTATAGGGCTGGAAGAAACCTTAGGGATCATTTAACCTTATAGACCTAGAGAGTGGAGAGGCTAAATGACTTGAATAATGTTTGTTGAATTAAATTATTAAAAAATAAGCGAAAGGTGAGTAATACACCTTAGACTCAAACCTAGGCCTTCAGGCCCCAAGTCCACTGCTCTTTGTTCTATAAAATGCTGCCTCTCAGCCTGGTCTGCTTCCCCTCCCCCGTATTTTCAGGATAGACTGATCCTGATTTGGCAATTAGCAATTATTGGTCCACCAAGTCATAGGATCAAAGAATCACAGACAGAGCTAGAAAGGAACCTAGTAGTAATTGAATCCAACATTTTCATTTCATGAATGAGAAAACCAAAGGAAGTGGTAGGGTGGGGGAGAGGAAACAGGCATTTATTAAGCACCTACTATGCACCACACACTGTACTAAGTGCTTTTTATAAATATCATCTCATTTGATCCTCACAGCAACCCCTGAGAGGTAGATGCCTTTAGTATTCTCATTTTACAGCTGAGGAAACCGAGGCTAACAGAGGTTAAATGACTTATACAGGGTCACATAACTAATAAGTGTCTGAGGCTAGATTTGAATTCAGATCCTCCTGAGTCTAGGCCCAACACTCTCACTACTACAACACACTTTCTTTTAGGATCTGCTCTGTTAACATGCCAGTCTCATCTCAACCTATGGCCCCAGGGTAGAGGTGGGATCAGGGCACCACTAAAAGTGATGTTCACCTAGAGAACAAACCTTGAATTGTTTATACTTTTTTTTTTTAGCTAGGCAATTGGGGTTAAGTGTCTTGCCCAGAGTCACACAGCTAGTAAGTGTTATGTGTCTGAGGTTGGATTTGAACTCAGGTCCTCCTGACTCCAGGGCCAGTGCTCTATCCAGTGCACCACCTAGATGCCCCTGTGATGGGCATTTTGTCGTTGGTCAGTCATTTTCCAGCTGTATGTGACTTTTCATGATCCCATTTGGTCATTCTCTGCAAAGATACTGGAGTGGTTTGCCATTTCCTTCTCCAGTTCATTTCATAAATGAGGAAACTGAGGCAAACAGGGTTTGCAGTAAATATCTGAGACAAGATTTGAACTCAGGAAGATGAGTACTTTAGAGGAAGACTAAGAAGTCACGTCAATCAACATTTATTAGATACCTGCTATGTGCCAAGCACTGTACTAAGTGCTGAGGATACAAAGAAAGGCAAAACAAAGTAAAACAAAATAAAACCCAGTCTCTGCTCTCAAGGAGCTCAAAGTCTAATGGGGGAGACAACATGCAAATAACTATATGTAAACAAGATAAACTGGACAAGGGGCAGGTAGGTAGTACAGTGGATAGAGCACCAGCCCTGAAGTCAGGAGGACCTGAGTTCAAATGCGGCCTCAGACCAAACACTTGACACTTACTAGCTGTGTGACCCTGGGCAAGTCACTTAACCCCAATTGCCTAAAAAGGAAAAAAAAAGATAAACTGGACATAATCAACAGCAGGAAGACACTAGTATTAAGAGGGGGTCTGAAAGACTGCTTGGAGAAGGTGGGACTTTAGCTGGCACCTGAGAAGAGCCTTAAAGAATTCTAAGCTGTGGAGATTTGAGCCTTTTTTCTCTCTCTCCTGTTGACTAATAGGCATTTAGGCATTTGACATTTTGCACGTCAATGATACTAGGTGAAATGTGGCACCTCAGCTCCTCACCTGTTTCCCTCTCCACCAGTGGTAGTGGAGTGATATCTGGAAGTCTGTCACTGGAAGTAGCCTTGGGAGAGAATTTAGCATGTTCTGTGCCAGCTTCTTTGATGCAAGCATAAGACATTTTCTGCTTATAATAAATCCATCAGCCAATAAGCATTTATTAAGTGGCAGTTCTTTGCCAGACATGTTATGCTTTGCACATACAAAGGAAAATGAGAGTCCTGTTAAGAAGCTTGTGTTCAACATGTAGGTGTATACAAAATATAGACAAGAGAAATATAACATAACTTGGGTGGGAGGAGACACTGGCAGCCAGGAGATAGCAGGAAAGGCTTCTTACAGAAGGAGGCCCTTTAGCTGGGTCCTGAAGGAAACGCTAAATGGTAGGGGGACGGAAGGAAGGAATCCTAGGCATCAGGAACAGCACGTGTATTGGCGTGGAAATAGAAGATGGTGTATCATGAGAAGAACAGCAAAAAAAAAAGTGATATGGAAGGAACGTAAAGTATGTGAAGGGGAGTAATATTTAATAAGGCTGGAAAGGTAAGCTGGGGTCAGGTTGTGAAGGGTTTCAGATGCCAGATTCTAGCCTATTAGAAGATACAAGGCTTAGACAAAAACACATAGTTAATACCAGATGACACGTACTTAGTGCCCAAGGAGAAACACAGAACCCAGGCAGGGTTCTGAGTTGTGAAGTGGGAGAGATGCCTCTAGGCTCGGGTAGTCAGAGAAGGTTTTACAGAGTAGTAGGCAGGACTTGACCAGAAGTTTCTAGAATGGGTAGGATTTAGTAGATTGTAAAGACAAGGGATGCCAGGTAATTTGAATGCACTTTCCCAAAGAGAGGTCATTTGTGTGAAATACAGCAGGGTTGCGCATATCATCAGATACAACTGGTAGTGTGATTACCTTTGCCTTTCCCCCTTCTTAAATCATTGTTACAAGGGATGGCTTGCTGGATGGGGCAGGAATGTATCTGGAAATGAAGGTGATGTAAAAACAAAGTATATCAATAAATATATGATTACAAACAGTTGATTCTTAAAAAGAGGCATCTCCTGGGTGAATAGTGGGTAGACCAGCTTGGCTGAAGCCTCAGAGGATCCCTGGGGAAAGGGAAAGACGGGATGAGGACAGAGTCAGATTTTAACAGGCCTTCAAAGCCAGGCAGTGGAACCTAGAGGAGTTTCATAGATTTAAGAAACTGGAGACAGAAAACCAGGGAGTTTTTACTTAAACTTAGAGCATTTTTTGAAAGTGAAGTGAAAAAAGAACCAATCTTCAGGATGGAACGTTTTCTCCCCTTTTCTGAGCTTAACATATGCTCCTCTTATAATCCCTTTGATTTTTTTCCAGGGGTTTATATCTGTGATTTCAAACTTCCTGACATACCTGGTAGGTGGGCAGATCAGGGATGGTCTCCCCCATTTTTTGTAAGTAACTTATTGTGAGATTAAAGCTAACAAAAAACTAACTAAACTTAAATTTATAACTAATTACATATTTTTAGTTTTTCAACGTACTTATGATTCTACATTTTACTCTTAAGGAAAGTGAAGTCAAGAGAGATCCATTGATTTGCCAAGGTCATCCAGCTATTAAGTAATGGAGCTGAGGCTAGAACCCAGGTCTCCTCTCTTCTATCTGATGACTGCTCAGGAATACAACTGTATTAGATTAGGTCAAATTCAATTTGAGAAAAAACTTATTCAATTCCACAAATAGGATGGTATAGTAGAAAGAGCAATAAACTTGGAGTTATGAAAGACCTGGGTTCATATCCCATCTCTGGCACTTATTAGCAATATGACCATAGGCAAGTCATTTATATCAGTTTCCTCCTCTGTAAAATGGGAATAATAATAGCTGTAGTATACACCTCACATGGTTGTTTTAGGGGTCAATTTGCAAACCTGAAAGGTCTATATAAATAAATGTCAACTATTATTAAACACAATGCTAAGTGCTGGGAATACAAAGATTACCAACAACAAAAAAAGAAGATGCCATTTTCCTGCCTTCAAGAAGCTTACATTCAACCCAGGATATTCTCTGAATAGATGTAGAAACAGATGCGTATGATACATGTAAACAGCTAAGGGTAAAACATGTGAACAATAAATATGATACATGTAAACAGATACGTGTGAAATGTGTCAACAGATAAATGTGATACATGTAAACAGATTCATATGATACATGTAAATACATAATACAAGTGTAGGGTATGTGTGCATGTGCTTCTCATGAAGGTGCTGTGTATGTCCTCCTGGACTGTCTAAATGCAGTGCATGGGGAAGCCTGAATCTTTAGAATCTTGCCCACCTCTCTCCAGAGAACCCTTGATTCCTACCTGGAGGAATGTTGGAGAAGGGGCCATAAAGCTGGCTGCTCTGCTCTCCTTAGAGAGGGAGTATGAGACTAGAATCATATCCATCCCCCTCCAAATATTGCTGGTTTAGGGGAATTATTTTTTCTTAGTTTCAAGATGCTTTTCTGGTTGCTGTCTCTGAAAAGGGAATAGGCATTGAGCTTTTTCTACACAGATTTGGTTCTTTCCTGGTACCCAGTCATCCTCTTGCTCACAGCCATAGTATCATAGATTTAGAACTAGAAGGGACCTCAGAGGCCACTGTGTCCATGATCCTGCCTCCATTTTACAGATATGGAAACTGAGGTATAGAATGATTTACACAGTATCATACAGCTAGTGTCTGAGGAGGCGTGTGAATCACCACACCATGCTATCTCTTTTCATTGGCTGCTTCTTGCTTTCAACACTTCAATGGATCCCTGATCTCATTAATGCTGCAGATCACAACTGATGGCCACCCCCCTCCATCCTTTGCAATTCTTGTAGAAGTTGTCCCATAAATCCTCTGTAAAGGATCTGCCTAGTGCCTTCCTCTGGATCTTTTAACATTGCATGGGTATGTGAACAGATGTAATAAAGTGAGCAGAACCAGGAAAATAATATACACAATAACTAAAGCGGTGCCAATGGAAAGAAACCCCACCACAAACAAAACTCAAAACTGAACACTATGTAATTGTAATTACCAAGCTTGGCCCAAATAAAGGGAAATGAGAATGCACCTCCTTCCCTCTTTCACAGAGGTGGAGATCTTTAGGTATGAAACACTGTATCTCGTGTACTTGGTTGATATGTTGGTTAGGTAGCTAGATGGCTCAGTGGGTAGAGTGCTGGCTCTGGAGTCAGGAAGACCTGAGTTCAAATGCAGCCTCAGACATTTACCAGCTATCTGCCTCAGTTTCCTGATCTGCAAAATGGAAATAAAAATAACGCCTACCTCCTAGAATTGTTGTAAGGATCAAACGAGCTAATACTGTAAAGCACTTTGCAAACTTTAAAGTGCTATATAAATAGTAGCTATTATTATTATTATTTTTGCTGAAGTGTTCTTTTCTTTATTAAGAGATGGCTCTGTAGAAAGGCAAGGGGGAGCAATATTTTATATATATAGATATAGACATATATGAAATAAAGACAATGTAACAACTGAAGATATCGATAACATTTTCTTTAAAAGCCATTACATGGGGATAATGGGTATAATACAGCACTTGAACTGTCTATCTCTAATCTCACATTTCTTTAAGTGATCAGCCCAATTCATTTTCCCAATCATCCATCTCCCAAATATCTTTCATGCTACTTCTTGTCCACAAGTCATCACTAGTGATATGCTGCAGCCAATTTGTACCCACCACACATCTCTCTATTGCCCTTTGAGTCTCATGCAATTTTGATTCTTCAGTAATTTAGGTATTCTAGGATTCATAGCCATATAGCATCATCTGGAAACTTGGTGCTAAAAAGATGGGTTTTGGTGTCAAGGAGCATCTTGGGATCCTTGAAAGCACTGGGAAGTTTCCAAAATGAAATCCAAACTTGCTCTATTCCTCCTGTTCAATAATGGTAATGGCTCCTTTGAGTTACCTCTGTAGTGATTGTCTGAGATCTATATACTGATGGACTTGGGCAATGAATGGGCCACCTGCTCAACTGCGTGTCAGCATCTAGACTATAGACCTTCTTTATTCGTTTGATTTATCCTGAGTGAGTTACTAGGCCAATCTCTTTTGAGTGATTTACAATATCATTGAAAAAGGCCCTATAGTATCCTGTAGCTGAATGCAATCAGCGAAGTGTTATTTGTGACCAGTCGCATCTGGTGGACCTTATTCTCTCCAGGGATTGCTCTTCTATGTGGAATCTATACAGGGCATCTTCAATGTCAGTGGGGGTGGGGGGTGGGGAATGACTTAGGCAAGCACGTAGCTCACTATTTTATGCCTTGCTTGAGATTACTAATAAGAGAATCTCTTAATAACATTGCCTCTTACTATAGTAAATAGGTGGAAATGAATTATGTGACCACTAACTGGGGAGCAAATTGTGGTCTATGAATATAATGAATTATTATCACACTATTTCTATTTTTAGGGAATGTGCTTTAAATAGGCGGGGTTATCTGGGTGTTTGGGGAGCTATGCTGACTCTCTCAAAAAGGCCAACAAATACCAACTGTCACATGGAATTTAAAGGTGTCCTGTTATTGTGGATAGAGTACTGGACCTGGAAAACCCGTGTTCAGTTCCTAAATCTAACACTTACTTAGCTGTGTAACCATGCATGAGTCACTGAGACTCAGTTCTCTCATTTGTAAGAGGGTCATAATTGGAGGGGGGAAAGTGAGGAAACAAGCATTTATTAAGTACTCCATACCTCTTCTAAGCACTTTATAAATATCTCATTTAATCCTCATAACAATCTTGTGATATAGAAGCTATTATTATACTCCTTTTACCACTAAGAAAACTGAGGCAGACAAATTAAATGACTTCAGAGTCACACAGTTTGGAAATGTCTAGGGCCATATTTGAACTCAAACCTTCCTGTCTCCAGGTCCAGTACTCTATCCTCTGACTTACCTGGTATCTACCTCAAAGTTGTTATGAAGTTCAAATATTATATCAGTTAGTCAGTCAATAATCATGTATTAAGCACCTACTATGTATCGGGCACTGTGCTAAACCCTGGGAATAAGAAGAAAGGCAAAAGACAGTCCCTGCTCTCAAGGAACACATAATCTAATGGAGGAGCCAACACACAAATGACTATGTGCGAACAATATCTATACAGGATAAATTAGGGATAATCTCAGAAGGAAGGCAGTAAGATTGAGAGGAGTAAGAAAGGCTTCTTGTAGAAGGTGGGTTTTAGCTTGGACTTGAAGGAAGCCAAGAAATCTAGAAGACAGAGATGAGGATGGTCGAAGAATTTCAGGCATGGGAAAAAGCGGAAATGCCTAGAGTCAGGAGTGTTTTTGTGAGAAGAACAGCAAGAAGGCCAGTGTCACCAAATCACAGAGTACATGGTGGGGTATGCTGTGTAGGAAGCCTGGAAAGGTAGGCGAGGAGGTACAGGTTATGGAGGCCTTTGACACCAAGCAGATGGCTTTATAGTTGATCTTGGAGGTGACAGAGAGCAACTGAAGCTTATTGAACAGAGGGTAACAAGATCAGATCTTTGCTTTAACGGGACAATTTTGATAGCTGAATGGAAGATGGGGAGAGACTTGAGGCAGGAAGACAGGATAGAGGGGGTAGAGAGTTGGTCTAGAAGCCAACTAGCCATATATATTGGCTGTGTGACCTTGGGCAAATCACTTAACCCCTTCAGTGCTCTGGGTGACTTTCTAAGAATTAAGGTTGTACAAAAGGTGCTATAAAGTGCATTAGTATAGGAAGTGTCCCTAACTGAGAGTGTCTTGTGCTAACAGCATCACAGGTCCCGTCCCTAATTTTTATTAGATTTGGCCCAACATTCTGGGCATTGTGATCCTTTTTGGATTCTCCATTCTGTTATCCAGTATTAGTCATCACTCCTAGCTTTGCATCATCTCCAAATGTGATAAGCATGCCATCACACAGACCTCCTTCAAGTGGGTTAGCAAAAAATTCAGTGCTCTGGAAGCATCCACAAGAGGTCTCTTTTTGAGCTAATATTGAGCTGTTAATTAGATCTTTGGGTGTCTAATCGTTTATCTAGTTCCAAATCTGTATAACTATATTATCATCTAGGATATATTTTTCCATCTTTTCTGTAAGAATGACATGAGAGACTTTGTCAAACGCTTTGCTAAAAATTAGGTTTTAAAAAAGTGCTTTCCATTAGGGAATGGCTGAAAATATTATGGTATCTGAAGTGGTTGCATGTATTCAAATTAACACTATTTGAAGTTATAATTATGTGAATTTGGTGATTGGTTCCAGCCAAATAGAAATGAATAATGTGACCCCTTAAAGGGATTCCTTACCTGCACTAATCAGAACCTGGCTGTAATAGGATAGTGCTTGATGGTACTGAT